AGTGTAGATCAACAGATCTATGAAAACTTGAAAATCTTGAAAATTGACGGTCCAAAAATGCGTTACAAAATATACTATTTTCAAAACTTGAAATCGATTTTTTTTTCTCATGTCCATGCATCTTGATGTCGAGATGATCAATTTGAGGATATTTGGGCATCAAAACAAACCGATTCTAGTGAAAATTTTGAGGTAGGCTCTAATTTGATTGTTTAGAGCCTCGGCTCTATATAAACTTTTCCCATAATATAATGAGTGTTAATTTATAATTTATTTAATCTTTGATAAAATATATTTAGTTTTATTTATACTTCTTAAGATTTTTATAGTTTTTAAATTTTCGGGTTTTTATGTTAAATTTTACTTTTATAGGGAAGAATGTTGGGTGGTCAATAAACATCACACCCATAGGATGAGTACAGCTGAGATGAGGGTGTTGAGATGGATGAGTGGGTAGATAAGAAGGGATAGAATTCGAAATGAATACATTCGGGAGAACTTAGGTGTGGCTCAAATAGGCAATAAGATGAGAGAAAGTAGATTCAGGTAAACTGACCATGTGCAGCATAAACCTAGTACAACACTCGTTAGGAGATATGAGTTGTTTCAAGTGGAAGGCTCAAAAAGGGCAAGGGTTAGACCCAAAAAGGATATGGTTGGAAGTAATGAGAAAATATATGGCGACATATGGCCTCGTTGTGGGTATGGCCCTTGATAGAGCAGAATGGCGAACCGGATTCGTGTAATAGACCCGAAATACTTAGGAAAGGCTCTGATGATGATGTTAAATAATACTTTTATATATGATATAATAAAATGTTCACAAATCTTGTTCACTTTGATGCCACTCATGCTGTGGTAGACCTCACCACCTCTTTCAAGAAGTCATGGTTTCTAAACTTTTGGGGCTCACTATGACGTATTTACTTTTAAAAACATGAATTTATTGAAAAATTAAGCCCTACAAAAAGATCTGCTCACTGCTAGATTTGACCGCAACATTTCACCATGTTAAAGTATATCTAGGTTAGCCAATGGCCTTAGCTGCTAATAGTATGCAAAACACTTATAGAAGTGTCCACACGTACTAAAAATGAAATCACTTGACATGTATGGCCAAGGTTTCCAGGCCATGTCTAGAAGTGTCAATAGATGTCAAGGTATCAACACATGTCATAACAAGACAAAACAGAGAAGTGGAGTACTTGGTAACATTGCTTACTTGAGGGCTGATGCGCTAGTTCCTATGTGCGATTTGAAAGTGGACAATGTGAACTAGCACATTTATGTAATTTCAGATTTTTCTTTTTCCAAACTGGCTGGGATACTTGTATAAGTCCAAAGATTATGATAATAACTCAAATAAACAAATAAAACTTCAAAAATGGATTCTCAATTGCTGCCACTTTAACAACTCTTTATTTTATGATAAAAAAGTGCATCAACTTGAACTTACGGATAAGAAACACAGTTAGCAGTAAACTGAGTGAGATGACAAAAGATTACCTCAATTGGACTTGATACACCCCACATCGGGTCTCCTCCCCCGATGGCACACGGGTTCAAGGGCTTTCTTAGATCTCACAAAGATGGGAAGCTTTGGCTAGAAACCCTTCAAGAAATATGAGAGCAAGTGGAACAAGCATAGGCCTTTTCTCTTCTTATCTCTAAGTGGGGCATGCCTCTCTCTAACAATGTATCAAGTGTAGGGGCGTGCCCCTTTCTAAGGTTTAGAGAGAGTTTGAGAGTTAGGGAGAGAAAGAGAATGAGAGAGAGGGTGCCATGCCACCTTGAGGAGAGAGAGGGAGCTTTAGGTCATGGGTGCAAATAAGACCCTCAATGAGAGATATTATAGACTTGTGATTAGGGTTTCTAGGTTTTAGCCATCCTTTATGAAGCTTTTATCTAGAACATTGATGAAAGGTGATCTGTGGGGTGAGAGATCTTAGCCATACAATCCGTAGATCAGCCATCATGATCTAATAGAAGGTGCTAAAACCTTATTCCTTAGCTTCTTTAATCTAATCCTATAAAATATTAAGTGTAGAGAAATTATATTATACTTGCCTTTTATTTTCAAATCAATCTCTACACATTCTTCTTTCAAAACAAAATTAGCCTTTATTTCAAAGCCTTCTTATTTCATTTCAATCAATTAAGTGGCTTATCACACAAGGCAACATAATAGGAAAGAGAGGGAGAAAAGT